TTATACATGTTTGTTTGTTTCTAGTTAAGTACAAACCTACTGAAGCATTTGCGACATTTTGAGGCATTTTACGTTAATTTCAAATGCTTCAAGGAATAAGAAATATATTTTTGTAAAAACTACCTGCATGACATACATATATGCAATGTAGAGAAAAATTTGCAAGCATATGTATATGTCAAGTATAAACGACGCTGCATTCCAGACGTTATGGAGAACCAACTGTTTATCTTATCTACAGAAACAGACGCCACTGTTGCAGAGAGAAAGTTTATACTAACTTTGTTAAAGATAGGAAACGAATTCTAATAAAAGCTTTAGAAAGGAAACCAGAGCCTCTTGCACAACTCTGGTCTGAAGGAAGGTGAAGAGAAATACATGCAAATGGGTGGCCGATATACAGTGTTTGCGTATAACCAATTAACAACTAGTTTTGGTTTCAGAAGACAGTAAATATTAACCAATCATTTGATGGAGCTACTTGCAAGATCAGCATGAAGAGCTAGTTGAATGCTCATAGAAATACTGAGAAACGAGTATAAGAAACCCTGTTTTCAGCAAAAAAGTTAGTCTCCTGGCTCATATCCAAAGGCCAACAAATCTGATGATTGTGATGATTCCTGATCCAACTCAGTCAGCTGCCTATCTAGCCGCCTAAACACTGATGAAGATGATAGTTCTTAAGAACATAGAAAACTTCTCTCACTCAGTCCCCATGTAAGTAATTAATGTTATCACTCTCAGTCGAGCAGTGTACTTAAGAATTTAATGTACAATTGATTAATAGTAAAGAGGATTTGTCTGAGCATATATCAATTGATATTGTAATTCATAACCTATTTGTTACTGTAAAGTATTTAATGAGTATTATTGAAAGCTTAATTGAAGAACATTTTCCTGCTCAGACGGAAGAATTTAGTAATTTTAACAGGAAAGTTTTCAAAGATCATTTCAGTAATCTCGATGTAGCCGAATATCTGAATACATTGAATTAAATTGTTGTTTGTGTTTTTGAATCTCAGTCTCCAAGTCAATTCTTTAGTCTAACTGTAAACTTCCTCGAGTTAGTGACTCCTATGCTACACTCGCGACTGCAAACCTGGATTTAGTACAAATCTATATGTAATTGGATTTAAAGTCGAACTCCAAACGACTTCTTAGGTCATCTTCAGATTAATAAAGACAATTTGAAACTGACTGTTACTGGGCACATGTCTTAGAGACGAGAGTGTGAACGGGTATGAGATTGTAGGGGCGTAGCAGTTAGACGTTAGGTGATTAATATAGGTATAAAGGTGTTTCTTTATGTTGGCTCAATTTTGGTTTGAGTTCTTGTAATAAGTAGGACTTTTTTGATTTTTCGTTTGTTTGTCTTTGTTTCTCTACTTAATGTGTTGGTGTTTTCTATGGCTAGGTTGTGTTTATTTGATTTGCAGTATTCCTAAACGTGGGAAGGTGTTTTTTTTTGTATTCATTGAATGTGGTTTCCATTTTTCGGCTTGTTTCTCTGATATAGATGTCGTGGCAGTTGTTGCATTGTATTTTATAAATAATGTTGGTGTTATGTTTGTCACTGTAGTTTTTAAATAGTATGGATTTTAGTTTTGTGCCCGGTTTTTGAATGAATTTAGTGTTTGTTGGAATGTTATAATTTGTTGTAAATTTTTTCCTAATGTTGGATATTTTATCGCTAATATCAGGAATATACGGTATGCAACATAGCAGGATTTTATAGTTAGTTGTTTCATTGAATGTATTATTGTTTGTTTGCTGTTGATTGTGTTGTTGGCCTAGGTATGTGTGTATAATTTTTTCGAAGGTTTTTGAAGGAAATTTATTGACGTTGAGAAAGTGTTGTTTTAATTGTCTGATTTCATCGTTAATTTTATCGGGTGAGCATAATTTTGTGGCTGTGTTTATTTGTTTTTTAATATATTGAATGTGTACACAGGGAATGTGTAGTCCAGTATAGGTGAATTTTCTGTGGATTTCTGTTTTGAATTGTGTATCGGTTCTTGTGATCTTGAAGTTGAGAACTGTTATTTGTTTAGCTGTCTCGTATTCACAGGTGAACTTAATGTTGGGGTATACAGAGTTAACGTGGTTGAAAAACTAAGTGTGTGTTCTGTAGATGTAAATCCAATAAATGTATCAACATATCTGTACCATTATATTGGTGGGTGTAAGACTGAATTGATCGCTTGAGATTCAATCTATGTCATGAAAATGTTGGTTAAAATTGGTGACACAGGATTGCCCATACTTAAGCCATTTATTTGTATGTAATTTTGGTTGTCGAACATGAAGTTGGTTTTGGTGGTAGTGAATTCTAGAAGAGCTGCTAGTTGGTTGGTGGGGATGTGTATTAATGGGTTTGGGTCTTGGATATAAAGTTCTAAAGCTATCTTGTAGGCTTGAATAGTTGGGACTTCAGTGAAAAGGGAGATCACATAAAAACTGGCCATTAAGGCTTTATGATTTAGTTGATCCAGAATATATTTAAAGTTAAAAGAGTCCTTAAAAAAGGAGCCTACTGATATTGCATAAGTAGAAAATGTCCACGCTATGTATTCACCGAGGTTGTAGTTAAACGATTCACTGGTCGACATTATGGGTCGTAGTGGACAATCGGGTTTGTGAGGCTTGGGGGGGGGGGTGCTGTAAAGTTGAGGTGTGTGGGAGTCGGTCTGACGTAGGTAGGAATAAAGATTTTCTAAGATTGTGTTATTTTTCTCAATTCTGATAGCATTTTGTTTAGTTGTTTTTCGTGTGTTTTTGTTGGATTTGTGAGGATTGTCTTAAATTTGTTTGTATTTTATAGGATATCATTCATTTTTTGAATGTACTCACTTGTGTTCATTATTACAATGGCATTGTCTTTATCTGCTTTTAGAATTTTGATGTTGTTGTCTTGTTTTAGGTTGTTTATAGAATTAATATCTTTCTGTGTTTTTTAGCTTTATTTTCTGTGAAATTATGTTGGTGGTTTTGCATAAGAATTCTTTGAAAAAGTTGTTTAAAATACTGTTTTGAGGTGTTTCGGGGAAATAGATGTTTTCAGTTTTACATGGAAAGATAAGTTGTTGATTATCAAAGGAATTTGTATTGATGTTGTCTTCTTTCCGGTGGCTGTTTTCCGTAGTTTTGTTGGTGTTTTCGGTGTGTGTAGAATGGATTACTAGTCTTTTAGCTAGGTCTTCAAGGCATGCTTTTATTTCGGTAGATGGCATATTTCTTTGCGTTACTGCGATGTTGAGTCCTTTGTTGAGCGCTTAATTGTCGGTCGGATCTGTTAATTATGAGATTGGTTGATGGTTCGTCGTGTTGACGTCTTTTCTGTTGTTTGCACCTTAGTTGATCTAGTTTTCTGTTATGGCGGGTCTCTTTTTTTCCTTTCTATTCCTTGCTGTTGATTAGGTTGATGTTACGTTGTATGAGTCTATAACTTTCTGGTTGAATGCAGCAGACCAGTTGATGGTCTTGATTCATTTTTTTTTTGTTTTTGCAACTCATTTAATTCTTTGTATTTTGAGTTTAACATATCTTTTGGCAAAATTAGGGATAAGTTTTTCGTTTTGGCACTGTTAGAAGAAAGAAATGTCATTTCTTCTATTGACGATTTTGTAGTTTAAATTCCTTAGTTTCGTTAGAATCTCACGTGCATGTACGGTTAACAATGGGGTGATGTAAGTAAGTTGAGACATATTGGAGTGTTGTTGACTAACTGTCTTCCTTCTAGTCTTTCACTGTTAATTTGGGGACTGTAAATTTCGAGTCAAGCGTCCTAACCACCACGCAATGGCAGGCACTACATTTTGATAAGTAACAATATTTAAGCTGCAGAAAATAGTTGTCCTGGTTCCCTCAATTAAAAGTGAAAAAACAATTTATTTATTATGCCACTAGTTAATTACTGTGTTTGAAGACGGCCCGCTTGATAGTCTAGTTGTAGCACTTATAAACAAATTAGTTTACGAAAGACTTACATGATTATCACTAAAAAGAATATATATATATATACATACACACACGCACAATTTCCAAACTTTTCCAGCAAATATCTTAAAGAAAACAGCCAACTGAATGTATTATGAGAAAACAATATTTTCTGAACATAATATTTAATAAAGTATTTATAGCCTTTCTTCTTATCCTTACCTGAATACGAAATTAAGTACAGCTCGTGAAGTAGTTTTAGCGTACAAGACTAATGGTCCAATTGGTCGAGTCAACTGTTTTAACTCTAGGAAATTCAAATTACCTACACACATAAACACCCACGATTGAAAGAGACGAGCAGAACTATTTTCACGTAAATAAGATCTAATAGTTACTACTTGTGGCAACTAAGAATATGGGCAATCCAAGATCGTTTTTCCCTTACAAAGTCAATTCCCAACAAATCTACCATGCATGGATATCATCTAACAATGCAATCAAGCGACAGATAAGCAACTCAAAAGTACAGAATCTGAATGACTTAACGCTAGTATTACTGATGATGCACACATTGTGCTCCAAATTGTTTGTGGATCCACAACTTTGTTGGTTACGGAGTCCTTAATAAAATATGAATTGCACAAAATACATAAACAAAAATACCATCAAAAGAATATTGCAAATAATCCCACTAAATGACCACTAGGGCCACGTATATAGAAAATTTACGATTTCATCACATTTTATTTGGCTAGTTATTTAATTATATTCAGTTGAAAAGCAAAACGGCTAAGCCTGATCAAAAACTCCTCATCACAAAAAACAAAATAATGAGATATAGAATATATCCTAAATTCACTTTGAAATAAAAATTACCATACTTGCTTATTTCGAAAGGGTACATCATAGGTGTGGTTCCCGTCGTCTAAATGTGGGAGAGGCCAGGAAGGAGTTGTTCTATCATCCGTTTCGCCGTCTCCAGAGTACATCGATATTCTACTGGTAGCGTAGGGGGAAGGGTAGTAGAGTTGTTCCTGACTGTGTCGAAGTCTGGAGTCAGGGGGAGCTCGCTTATCCCAGACCACCATGGGGAACGATTCGCCTTCTTTTCCTGCTTCTGAATCTCTAGGCGCTCCAAAATCAAACAAAAAATATAACTAATATGCATAAAAAACACTTCTTCATTATTGACATATAAACTGAAAATTTTAATATTCAAGATAAATATAAAATGACTACCAAGTAGAAAAAATGTTATTTTATAGTGACCTATTTTTAAGTTTTAGCTTGCAAGTATAAATATAGCTTTTAAAATGTACGCTAGAGTTATACTGATACTATTAATGGCTGGAGACGGCTTAAATGGGTAATGAAGAAAAACT